TTTATAGGCTACGACACGTGATCGTCGGCGATACGCTGCCGCGCGCTATGCATAAGTTAGACTATCGTTGGGCATAAGTTGTGAACGCCGCAACACGCTAAGCATTCGTCTACGGGCCTGGTAGCCTATAAAAAGGCTCCCGCTCGACGATTCAAATCATAACCGCACTAGACATCGCAGTATCAACATCACCTTCGCAGTATCAACATGACAATACCATTTTTATATACCAATTCCCTTAAACGCTGCCAATACGCCATTATACGGTAGCTGTAAGTTAGAAACACGTTCAGTAAGTTCTGTGGTCGTGTCCGGAACACGTCCAATACGTCTACATACGTCAATATGCGTTGGAGATAAGGTTCCAAGCACGTTACTCATAGGTTAGAAATAGGTTTTGGGTACGCTAGACATTATCTCGACGTAATTCGACTTATGAGTAACTTACAAGTAACGTTTGTGAACGTGTGTCAACGATTGCATAACTTACCTACAAGTTATGGCCCGCGTATGCGGGACGTATGGTCATACGCTGGCATACGTCGGAAAAATTTTTGAGCATGCTCAAAAATTTCCGACGACCTCGCCGTACTACGAGTCTACGACGTATACCAGCGTGCTCTTAACTTATACAAAGATTACCCATGCATAACTTATTCGACGTACGCCAGCGTATTCACGCAATTTTCCATACGTCGGTCGGTATATACGCTGGCTTTCATACGGAGGTGGGACATAATGATGGTGCGCCATAATCATATCATGATTATATCATATCATATCATATATCATGATAATCATATTGTACGTGATTCCTCCGCTGTCATGTGTTCAGAAGTGAATATATATTTTACTTACTCCTCAGTCCTGATATGATACAATTATTGTATCCCCCGCGACGAAGTCGGCAGGGATACTATGGTTTCATGTCTCCCCAGCCGCCGCCACCGCCGCACGGTCTGCTGCAGAAAATTTCCCTTCCGCTCTATAACTCGCCCCCTAATTGACCTAGCGCTACCAAACTTGGTATACTTACACATCTTGGGGAGAAGGTGAGCAGCGTACCAAAACCAGGTCACTGCGACCTTTATTTGACCTTGATCATATTTCCCTTCCGCTCTCTAACTCGGCCCCTAATTGACCTAGCGCTACCAAACTTGGTATACTTACACATCTTGGGGAGAATGTGAGCAGCGTACTAAAACCAGGTCACTGCGACCTTTAGTTGACCTTGACCTTGACCTTGACCTTCATCATATTTCCCTTCCGCTCTATAACTCGGCCCCTAATTGACCTAGCGCGACCAAACTTCGTATACTTACACATCTTGGGGAGAACACTACATGTAGTTGGCGACAACTGCCCTTTTTAGTTTATGACTGCAAACGGAGTCCCGATTCTATCATATGCAATGAAGTTACTTCAGTGAAGAAAAGAAGTGTCTTACTGAAATCTTGAGTAAATGTTTAGTTGTTTGTAGAAAGGTTTGGGTGGAATAGAATGTATATGACTCTTGGTGTATGTATATTTGTTATCAGATTACTATCTAAATCCTAAGAGGGATTGAAGGATAACTATCCTATCATAATTATGCTATGTACTGTATTTCCCAATAGGAAACCATGTAGTTGAATGTATGCGTGTACTTTGTATCATATAAGACACTGAGCCTGTCTGTATTTTTTAATTAATAACTGTGCAGCTGCTATTAATTGTTTAGAGTGACATGAATTAGCCATGTCAATGGATAACATTAATAAGCTGTGCACTTTAAATTGTAAATTGTAAAGCACAAACATTTAAATTGTTTACATTGCATTCACGTTATTACATTTGTTTAATAATTAACTAATTTATTGTTCAACTGTTTATTGGCTATGCCAGTAGTCTGTATGGTGCCTTGTTATACGTGGGACTGGGATCTGCAGCAGGGTGGTAGTCCATATCTGCAGGCACTTCTACACCCGCGCTCATGACATATATAGAGCTATATTCATTGCTCAAGTAAAATGGGAATCTCTGTCTAATTGTGACTTCAGTGCATTCAAGTAAGGTAAAGGCTATTGCTCTCAGCGCTCTCGCGTTGGTGCGTGCACAACAGGACATTAGTCTGTTAAGTGTGGATGTCGAGTGCGTATTATGGATCAAAGGGCAAAAGCGACTAATAGCAGCTAAGATGCACGTGCGCATTACTGCAGCTTCCAAAAGACGAGTCTAGCAAACGCAAGCATTCATGCGAGTATCAATGCCGCGTTACTGATTGGCGATCGCATGATATTACACT